TACGATCAACTCGGGATACGCCCAGAGTCACGGAACACATTAAGTTTGTATCCCGAGGTACCACTGTATTTATTTAATTTGGGAGCTCCCTCTGATATATATTGATTCTTTTCCTCCTCTTATATGGCCAAAATTTCTACAAAACTTACAGTTGAAACTGATGATCAGTTTGTCTTCCTAAGTCATAATGATAGTTAAATTCCAGGTCTTTTAATCCTTGACTTTTATATGTATGGTAATTGTGGGTCTTCAGATAACTGGTTTCTTTTTAAAGATGTTTATACCCAGTTCTTTTTGGTTGGAATAAATCAATGTATAGTACAGATTGCTTTATTGCAAGCATGTGAGCTTATCTGCCTTGAAATTTGTACATTTAAAAAAAAAAAATCAAAGGATATCCAAAGTTCCATAGATGGGTGGACAAAATTATGTTCTTAAATGTGAAGATATTTAAAGTTTTTAAATGGTTTTACAAGTTGTAAGCTGACAGGGATCATTAGTGGGTCAGGATACAAATAACTTTATGAGTACTACATTCTTTAAATTATGAGAACTGGTCAGTAAAATAAAGCCATGAAATTGTGCCACCTCTTAGTACAAAAGCCACAAAATGATGGATATAATATCCATAGTTATAAAGCTTTCTAAACCGTGAGATCAGTTTATCAGATTTATATAGCCGCCCATCTCACGGATATGACTCTGGGTGGCGTACAATAACAGTTAAAACAATTAAAACCACAGTTAAAACCAATTAGCACAATTACAAATAAAAATCGAATAAAAATAAAAAGCTGCAGGAGAACAGACCAGTGCCCTACATACAAAATAACCATCTTGCAGGCTCCCCATTTTTCTGGGATTCACACTTCTGCTGAAAAAAACATGTTTTCAGGGATTTCCTGAATGCCAGTAGGGTTGAGGTTAATTCACCTTGGGGAATGATGTTCCAAAAGGCAGGGCCCACAGCAGAAAAGGCCTGCCTCCTAGGTCCCATCAGATGAGGCTCTTTAGCAGACGGGACCCGTAACGTGCCCCTCCTGCTGGACCTGATGGGACAGGTAGATGTAACCAGGGAGAGGCAGTCCCTCAAATAACCTGGTCCCATGCCATGTAGGCCTTTAAAGGTCAAAAACAGCACCTTGAACTGAACTTGGAAGCAAACTGTCAACCAATGCAGTTTGCAGAGCAGACATGTAATGTGTGCCATTCTAGAAGCACACATAACTGCCCTCACTGTGGCATTTTGCACCAGTTGAAGCTTCCAGATGCTCTTCAAGGGCAGCCCCATATACAGTGTATTAGAGGAGTCCATTCGGGAGGTGATCAGGACATGAGTAACTGTGAGCAGAGCCTCATGATCCAGGAATGGGTGCAGTTGGCACACAAGACAAAGCTGTGCAAAGGTCCTCCTAGCCACGACTGCCATCTCCTCTTTGAGCAGGAGTCGTGAATCCAGAAGGACCCCCAGATTGTGCACCAGGTCTCTCTGGGGCAGTGCAACCCCATCCAGTACCAAAGATGGTAAGGTCTCTGATTGAGAACGCCCTAAAACCTAAAGCCACTCAGTCTTGCCAAGGTTCAGTTGAAGCCTGTTGTTCCCCATCCAGACACCCACAGCCCCCTTAGTATTTAAAGTATTTTATTATTTTTTTGCCCTTAGGAGATGAGCTGTAATGCTGCTTGTACTCATCCACTTTGAATAGGAAACCATTTGCCTAGTTAATTGCTAATCATTTCTTTTGTATTGTTCTGCAAGTTGCCACTTGTGACTAACAAATACTGCCTTTAACATAGGTAGATGAATTTAGATAGCTAAACCTTCTAATGCTCTTTACAAGTCTTCAGTTTGAGCTATAAGCATTAGAATTTGTCCCATGTTGTTTCTCAGAGTGGACTTCCTATGTTATAGTTGGATTTGTGATGCTGTCACAGCTCTTTTGCAGGCATTTGGAAGCTTGAGAGATGAGGAGGGATCTTCTGATACTTCCTTTTCAAAATTAGGTTTTGTGAATAAATACATTCACGTTTTTAAATTATAAGTAAAAACTGTTGAGAAAATATTGAAGTTACATCTGATTCCTAAGCCATAAATACATTTAGGTATTTAAATAAAATCATGTTTCTTCTCTCTAGGGGCTTCAAAAAAGTCAGAGTTCACATTTGGCAGGTCCTAATAGTGAACGACCTCTCTCTTCCACTGGGCCTTCCCAGCATCTCCAGGCAGCTGGCACTGGTATTCAAAATCAAAATGGACATCCTACCATGCCTAGCAATTCAGTAACACAGGGGGCTGCTCTCAATCACCTCCCCTCTCACACTGCTACCTCAGGTGGACAACAAGGCATTACCTTAACCAAAGAGAGCAAGCCTTCAGGAAACACATCAGCAGTGCCTGACAGAAACAGGCATTCTGGAGAGACACCTAACAGCACTGCCAGTGTAGAAGGACTTCCTAATCATGTCCATCAGGTGACGGCAGATGCTGTTTCTAGCCCTAGCCATGGAGATTCAAAGTCACCAGGTTTACTTAGTTCAGACAATCCTCAGCTCTCTGCCTTGTTGATGGGAAAAGCCAATAACAATGTGGGTACTGGAACCTGTGACAAAGTCAATAACATCCATCCAACTGTTCATACAAAGACTGAGAATTCTGTTGCCTCCTCACCATCTTCAGCCATTTCCACAGCAACACCTTCTCCAAAATCTACTGAACAGACTACCACAAACAGTGTTACCAGCCTTAACAGCCCTCACAGTGGACATGCAGTTAATGGAGAGGCATTGGAGGACTCTCAGAGCCCCATAAAAATCAATCCTCCTCTTACTGGACACAAACCTAATCCCCCGATCATACCATCTATGTCGGTATCTATATATCCAAGTTCTGCAGAGGTTCTAAAAGCATGCAGGTAAGTGCTCAAACTCCTTTAATTAAAACAAGTATAATTTTATATTGTATGTATTTCCCCAAATATTTTTATTTAAATAAAAAGCATTAAATTGTACAGTAATAAATAATTACTTTGCTTGTTTTTAATTATTGTATGTTCCATTAAAAATGAACATATGCATTCTGATTTTTGAGCTCTTTTAAAAATGAAGCTTATGAAAATGTATGCAGTAGCTACTTGTTTGAATATGTGTTGAAACGAAGAGCAATCCTACCCAACACTGTAGAATATTATAGCAAACTCTAGCAGAAGAGATGGAGTGGCCACCATGAATCAGAATGAAATTGGCAGTATATAAATGTGATAAGTGTTCATATTTTCCCCATTAATAGTTTTAAAATTATTATTAAGATACTCTATCCCATTGAAATCATTGGTAAAGGATTGATTTATTTAAGCTGAAAGAGTCTCCTCTCCTAACATACCTTCCCTGCATAGAGCTATAAAGACCTGCAGGCACAAACAGAGAAAAATTCATGAAAAGTACACTTTTGGCTCCTGTTCTTTTTCTCCTAAGCTCCTGAAGAACATGAAATAAAAGGAGAGATAGATAGATAGATAGATAGATAGATAGATAGATAGATAGATAGATAGATAGATAGATAGATAATTTATTTATTTTGAATGATGAGTTAAAATGTTTTCAGCAAGACATTGTATATTGAAATCCTTTACTTCCCGCAAATAATTTTTAAAATCTGTGCAACTACTAAAAGATGTTCTTATGCAAGATCATTATTGTATACAGTTTCAAGAATAAGGTGAGTTTCTGTCTCCAGGGCATTGGCATTTTCACAAGAGAAGGAAGAAGAATCCAGTGCTTATGGGGTTTATTGTTCACTTTTACCAAGATTGGTAGATTTCTTTCTGACTTCCTGCCAGCCTGACTGGGCATCTAAAGGATGGGGGTTACAGTGGTGTTGAACAGCAATAAATTTACTCCTCTAGAGATTAGATTAGAAACAAGGAATTGATTGCTTTGCTTGTTCAGGAGAAGAAAGCAAGTTAAAATAGTTGGAGTTGAAAAGAGTTCCTCGTAGCCCCATGAGTCTCCTCTTGTGTTCCACAAAAGATCAGAGCAGTACAGCACAAAAAGCTAAAGAAAACATTTTAATTCTTTACCGAAAAATAAAGTTTTACATTCTGTATATTATACTCTGTTTTAACTACATTAGTATATTTTCATAATTCTTTCTAATTGGATATTTTGGGGCGAAATGTTACTCAACCACATTTTTAAATGCAGAAACCAACCATAATTTTAATATTAAAATTTAGTTTAGCATTATGACTAAACTAAGTTACAGATTTAAAAGTTTATGTTCCTGAAGTAAGGAAATAACTTTAAATAGCTGAAGAAGTATTATAACAATTCAGAAGTTTCTGTATGTTCCCCTTCCCTGCTCCCCCACCAAGACTCTAGGATAGGAAATATTTTCTTTGGTTTTATATTTTGATAACTTCAACATTTTTCAAAACTTTAAATTTCTAACCATGTTTTTTTTCTTTCTTTCTTTGCTTTTATTAGTGGAATAGAAAAAATAAAGAAAAATGAACAATGAGAGAAAAAAAGAAAACTAAAAAGAAACAAACATACAGGGCATGCATTCACAGATATATATACATATTTAAAAGTTCTGTAGTTCAGTGAACAGTAGCTATAGTTCATTATAATTATCCACAGCTAATCTTTGTCAATAAGTTAGTTGCTAAAAATATCATTTCTGCAGGGCATTTTAGCTAGAAACAGGGCATAGAGAATCTGCTGTGTTCAAATGTCAATTTCCGTGTAATAGGAATATATTTTAAAAAATGAACTCAGAATATTACATCTTAGTTTCCTCCCAAGGTGAAATCATTTCTTCTTTTTTGACAAGACAAGAAGGCACTATAAAAGTTTCCACTGAGGTAGGGATAAGGTCCAAAGTTGGAGTTACATTGTTAGACATCTGCTCCCTTTCCTTGAAGCAATTCTAGGCTTTGGGGACATCTTTCTGGGGCTTGTAGGATGTGCAGCCTTTTCAATTTGCATTTTAATAACTAGTCATTATTGGTTTATAAGATTTTATTACAGAGATTAATTCTTGGAACTATAGCATTGTGGAATTATTTTCATAAACCCAAAGAGACTTTGGATTAGTTTTTTTTTCAAAGAGCAACTGATCATGATGCATCCTGCTTTAACAACATAAAGAAGTTTTCTAAATAGGAAAGCCATCTTCTTTTCAAAGGAAAGAAAAATTTTGTTTGTTTGTTTGTCACATTTATATCGCTGCCCATCTCACACAAAGCAACTCTGCAAATCTCCAAATATTGGAGTTTTTTAGATTTGGCATTATGTATTCATGGTAAAGATTTAAATATCTCCAATGACTATAATGTTGCATTCTTACTACTACATAGCCCCTAATGCAAACTTACAGGGCACACTGGAGCTAGTTTAGCTTTTCATAACTCTTAAAACAAGCACATACTTACACCTGGTGTGCATATATTTTAACTAGTAGGCAACCCTCAGTTTTCTCTCTCTCTTATTCTAAACATCTTTATGACACTGAGGGAATGTGAAGGTGAGAAGATTGCTATAGAAGCTCAGTTGTGAATCTGGGAAAAGAATGAACTCATGAATACAAATGTGGGTGAATAATACAGTGAATGAAAACATAAGAGATGCTTGAAAATGAATAGCAGCCCCAAGAAACACTGAATATATTTTGTCTCTTGTGAATACTTGAATAGAATCGTATATGTCAGCACTCTATCATCTGCCTCTATCACTTAGTGATGGCAATTCCAGCAGTCCTGGTTGCTGTCATAACCCGAGGACTGCGCAAGTCAATTATCAAGGACCTTACATGATTGCAACTTCTGACTTCCTGCCAGCTTCCCCATTGATTTCACTTGTGGGAAGCCAACAGGGAATGTTGGAAATTGCAATAATGTGACTATGGCTTACTGCAACATCGTAATCGCGAACCAGGTGCCAAGCACCTGGATCACGATTGCGGGGATGCTACAACGGCTAGAACTCCGAGGACTGCTCTTACAATTTGTTCAGTGACATCATCGGCATCATAACTTTGGTCACTGAGCCAGTGGTCATAACCTGAGGACTACCTGTAGAGGATTGCTTTGTGATTGTGCTCTGATCTTTTACTCTCCCAAGGTTTTTACTTATGTATTTAAAAAGGACTGTCGGTTTTTTATAGATTCTTCACGATTGGATTGGATTTTACTTCATTTTGCATCTGTAGCTATTTAAGTTTATTGTAGATTTTACTGTATAATTTGTTCTTTTTGTTGAATTGTTGTATAACTGTCAGTCTGTGGAGAAGTATAGAAATGTAGCAAATATAGAAATGTTGACATATTGATATGAATATATCTCTTCAGAACAATTTATTTTTTATTTATTTATATTTCAAATTTGTCACCACCCATCTCACTGTCACAGTTACATTTAAGAGCACAGATCAGTACAGTACTTAATTCCTTAGTGCTGTATATTAAGAGAGTTTACAGTAAACAAATATTGCAGGTGACAAACTGTGTGAGAAAGAGGATAGAAAATTAGGGATTGATAAATTATTGAAACATATTAAATACGAAATTGTTGAAATTGAGATACCAGTTATTGGAGAGTAAATACAATTGTATTACATTGTTGAATTCTGCAGATAGATAGATAGATAGATAGATAGATAGATAGATAGATAGATAGATAGATAGATAGATAGATAGATAGTAGAAAGTTGTATTTTAAATCTCAACAAAGAAGTATTTTTCTCCCTACAGGTAGTTCTCATTTAACGACCCTAACTGGGACTGGAATTTCCATTGCTAGGTGAAGCGAAACATTGCATGACTGCACACTTAGCGACAGCAGTTTCAGTAGTCCCAGTTGTGGTCATTGGATGGGGACTGCACCGTCATTAGGCAAGGACCTCATGCTTCTCCTGCCTTGAGCAAACTGCCGGCTCTGTCCCGCTGCCTACTCCCTGGCTGAGCCGGGTGAGCTCCTTCGGCAGACAAGGCTCTGTCGCACTTGCCTCCACTTCAGCTCCCCCCAGCCACCTACTTCCCCCATCTCTGTCCTTTTGGCTGCCCTGCACTCTGTTGCCTACCCTGCCGAAGGGCTGTCTGCTGCCTCAGCTGGGCACACCTCAGCAGCGGGAGAAAGAAGACAGCAAAGGTCAGCTAGGGGTGGCAGGGCTAGGTAGTGGCAGCAGAGTGCAGGGCAGCCCAAAGGGCAGAGACGCAAGGGAGATAGGTGGGTGGGGGGAGTTGAAGCGTACGCTGTGGTCGTTAATGCAGGCAGCCTGCCAGGTGCCCAAATTTTGATCATGTGACCGCAGGGGAGCTGCGACAGCCGTAACTTCAAGGACTGGTTATTACTACCATTCATTCAGCACTGTTATAGCTTCCAATGGTCACTGAACGAATGGTCATTAAGTGAGGACTACCTGTATTTGTTTTTTCTTCTGTTTTGTCTTAGCCCTTTTTAAAAGTAGACTCTCCTTCAAGTAAAGATCAACTCCTGGTTGATACATAGACTACATAGACACATCCAAGTTGTTTTCTTGGCAGCAATATGGAAGTGCTTACCACTGCCATTTTCCAGGATGGTTTTTCTGACTTACTGATCTAGGCCAAGGATTTCCTAGTGGTTTCCTAATCACACGATCAGCCAAGGTCAGCTGCAATACTACTACCTTGCTGTCTTCATTTAGAATATATTCTATTGCATAGTAATGTTTGTCAGTGCCATATTATAGCATTAAATTGTGAAGATACCTAGCTCTGCGTGTTACTGCTTTAGTAGTCATATACAGCTCAGATTGTTTTACCCTTTTAAAGACTACAAAACAATAAGATGATTTCAAGGCATTCACAGTGACTGCAGAATTTTTCTTGAATAGTAGAGATATAAAGGCCAGTGTGTTATATACCTAATACATTAAT